TAAAAATGTGGCATGATTTCTAATGAGAACTATTCAAAAGGGACCAACTGATGACTTTATGAAAACATCAAGCACGTTTGTACAAAACAACAATGAGATAAAAACCAAACTTTTACAGATTTGTTCACAAGGCGACCAGCATGCAGATATTTACCCTATATGTACATGTAAAGAGCTGTTGATAAAACTTATACAAGGTGGTGTTGGTTAAATGTGCTTTCCTGAGTGATGAAGTTATTAGTGCACATTATTTGGTTCAATTTCTATCTTAGTCAAATTAAACACAGTAATTTAATATAATAAAATGCTCCGCTGGGCGCATCTTGATACGACCGCAGAGGTCGAGCCCTGAACAGTTGGGGCAAGTATGGACACAACATTCAAGCTTGATACAGCACTGAATTTGGATTGTGATTAAATATTTGACACAGCATAGGTTTCTGACACAGAATGAATGTGGTCTAAGAACTTGTAAATTTTTAATTTACCTATTCAAACCATATCATTATTATTTGCTTTTATATATAAATCAGAAATAACAAATTTAAAATGGAAAATTTTAAAGAAAAAAAAATGAAAAAAAAAATCCCCCCCACCCAAATTTTTGAACCCCCTTATGATTCATCACCCCCAAACTCAATCCCAGCCTTCCTTTTGTGGTATGGTACCTTGCTGTACAATGTCAGAGAGATCCATACACTTGAACACAAGTTATTGACTGGAAACTAGAAAAATGCTTGTTTTTTAGCCCCTTTTTGGTTCAAAATTCCTAGGGAAATTACCCCCAACTCAAACCAAGCTTTCCCTTTGTGATATGGAACCTTGTAGTACAATTTCAGAAAGATCCATACACTTACACACAAGTTATTGTCATGAAACTAGAAAAATGCTTGTTTTTTGCCCCTTTTTTGACCCCTAATTACTAAACTTTTGAGGCAATTACCCCCAAAATCAGTCCCAGCCTTCCCTTTGTGATATGGAACCCTTTGGTACAATGTCAGAGAGATCCATACACTAACACACAAGTAATGTCTGGAAGTTATAAAAATGCTTATTTTTGGCCCCTAATTCCTGAACTGTTGGTACCACAACCCCCAAAATCAATCCCCACCTTCCTTTTGTGGTATTGAACCTTATGGTAAAATTTCATGGAGATCCATTCACTCAAACTAAAGTTAGAGTGCGAAAACCAATGTGTCTTCGGACGACAACGACGACGCCAACGTCATACCAATATACGACCGCAAAATTTTTTTGTGGTCGTATAAAAAAGAAGATGTGGTATTAAGTCTATATTTGACTGTTTTCTTGATGAACACATTGATCTTGAACAAAGTTGTAAGTAAGATATAGTCCCACTGCATGTTACTGTCTTGAATATGCATGAAATATTTGCCACTGAAACCCAAGTGAAGAAATCAATAATCAATCAACCTGTCAATGTTTATTTTGAGCAAAAATAATCATCCTCTATGTATACTGTTGGCTACACCAAGTTAAATACAATGAGTTTGCTATATAGAACAAATATAACATCATCAAGAACAATGAACAAAAAGGTCAAAGTCATACATGTCATATGAACCATGCCAAAACTTAGCACAAAAGGACATACATCAATAGCAATAATTCTATACACCAAAGATAGTTGACTTGTTGATCAATAAACCATGAAAAGTCAAGGTCAGAAACCAACCAGACTGATTTTTTATAGTTGATTCCTGTGTTGTACTGTTACACCACTGTCCCAGGTTAGGATCCTGCTAACATGTTTAACCCCGCCACATTCTGTATGTATGTGCCTGTCCTAAGTCAGGAGCCTGTAATTCAGTGGTTGTCGTTTGTTTATGTGTTACATATTTGTTTTTCGTTCATTTTTTGTACATAGATTAGGCCTTTAATTTTCTTGTTTGAATTGTTTTACATTTGTCATTTCAGGGCCTTTTATAGCTGACTATGCGGTATCGGCTTTGCTCATTGTTGAAGGCCGTACAGTGACCTATAGTTGTTAATTTCTGTGTCATTTGGTCTCTTGTGGAGAGTTGTCTCATCATGATCATTGGCTATCATACCACATCTTCTTTTTTATATAACATGTACATCTTACAATAATTCCACACCAAATATATTTTTCTGTTTGTTTATCATGTTTATAGTAATCTAGATGCAGACTTGACCCCGAATATATGCTTGTTTCATGAAATGAGGTCAAGATTAGGCGAATCTGCAACCATATCTGACAGACATGACAGACATGGTTTTCTCTTTTAAATTTTTTCATATTTTTCTGGTCGGGGCCTTTTGTAGCCGACTAAAGGCATGGGTTTTTCTCGTTGTACTACAATTGGTTATATCAAGTTATTGAAAAGTCTGGAGGGCAGATGTCTGATTGGCAACCATACCGCATCTCTTTATTTTTAAGATGAAAACTAGTAAATATCTTATGATGTGTGTCATTCAGTTACTGTCTCATTTGTTTTTATACGCTACATCTCTTTTTAGTCACATTGACAGCTGCAGGCATGACATGAACCCAGATCTAGAGTGGCAATACAGCAATTGTAAGGGGGTTAAAAGTCAAAAAATTTAAAGAGTCTAAAGTTGAATAAGTTACAGAAACCAGATATTGAAAAATTAAATAAATAAATATCAACTGTTTTAATCATCTTGTATTTCTAATAAAGTCATATCAAGATCTTCGAAGTATTCATAGGCAGACAAATTGTAGTATTCAGTATCGCTATCTGATACAGCAGAATCTTCTTGCTCCTCGAGCTCCTCAACAACTTGTTCTGTCAACGTATATTTGTTCCTAATAATATTTGTTCCTGAGGGAAACAATATTATAATAATATTTGTTCTGCGGAAATTCGGTCATGGAATACTTCTTCCAACTGTATTACATTTGTTCCACTGATATTAGGAACTTATATTATATGTTGATGAGTATAACAAATGTTCCTAGTATGCTGAAGTTTAAAGTTTACACCTGAGTGATTATTATCTAAATCAAAACAGTTTTTAAATGCTGATTATATGATTATTATGTAAATAGAAAAGTGTTAGTGAGTTAGATATATTCACCTGTACACAACACCTGAATGTATAAACATGGAGGCTGATGAGTATGAGAAAATATTTATATTCTTAAATGATGGAACTTATGTTGAAGGTAAGTAAATATTTTAACAAGTTCTGCTGTGAAATATAAATGTTAATTCTAATGATACAAATATCACTTAAATGTAAAATTTGCATGCCAGTAATTGTGGATAATTTGAAATGATTATTTAATGTCTACAACATTAGGAACAATTATTTCCCATATTCACGATACATGTTCTTTTACCAGTATTATTTCTACTATAGTATATCAGAATAATAATTGTAAATACCAATTTACCATTCCGGCATTCGTAATAGATAGAACATAATAATATTTATGCGTTGGAAAAGATATTACATAATACTTTTTCCAATCGGAATAAATATAACATAATACTTTTTCCAATCGGTATAAATAATACATAATACTTTTTTCGATTGGAATAAATATTACATAATACTTTTTCAAATCGGAATAAATATTACATAACACTTTTTCAAATCGGAATAAATATTACATAATACTTTTTCAAATCGGAATAAATATTACATAATACTTTGCCAATCGGAATAAATATTACATAATACTTTTTCCGAATAAATATTACTTATTTGTATATATGTTAATAAAGCAATTTAACCGTAATTTCTGATTACTTTCATTTTAATGGATGATATGTCAAATTGTCAAAATGATCATAGTAAAAATGTTATACCAGTCTTAAAATTTCCACCATAATATTTATCCCAAAGATAATTTACTATGTAATAAAACGTACTATTGGAATTTATTTTATGTGATAAAAATTCTGAGGCATCGGTCCTTTTATTATGCTTATTGAATATTTTCCACCATAATATTTATTCCAAAGATAATTTATTATGTAATAAAACTTTCTATTAGAATTTATTTTATGTGATAAAAATTCCGAGTCATCGGTCCTTTTATTATGCTTTTGGAATAATTTCCACCATAATATTTATTCCAAAGATAATTTATTATGTAATAAAACTTCCTATTGGAATTTATTTTATGTGATAAAAATTCCGAGGCAAAGGTCCTTTTATTATGCTTATGGAATAAATATCACATAACATTTATTCCAATTGGAACTTTTGTTACATAATAAATTAACTTTGGAATAAATATTATGGTGGAACTTATATTCTGTGACAGTTCTGACAGAAATAACTTCTCAAGAGGTAACATATCACAGGATTCACAATTACAAGACTTAGCACACAAGTCACAGCATGAATGTTTCCTGCTTTCTTTCTTCATCAAATCATCCAAGTCTGAATTTCTGAGGAAAATACACACATTTCCTTTCTCCTACAATCTTTAGCTTTAAGAATTGCCTTAACTTCCGGTTTCAACTTCTGCAAGTGGTATCCATTGTATAGGATAATGGCAACTGATACATTTCCATCCCTCCCCACTCGCCCTATTTCTTGCAGCAAATCTACCAGATTATTTGGAGGTCCAATTATACCACTCCACTACACTTTTTTACATCTAAACCCATTCCCAGGGCACTGGTTGACAAAATAAGTCTCAAAACACTACTTTCCTCCTTCAATGCATTAATTATAATGTTTTTGTTAACATCTGGAGTTTCAGAATGGAACATCTCAATATACTTGGCACAATGTGGCAATTCTGTTACAATGTATTTATAAAGTTTGGAAGTGTCATTTATCAATGAATAATACAAAAGTGTACGTGGGAAGTCCTGTCTTTTTTCCTCTAATGCATCTACTAACCATGTCATTCCCATTTCAATTTCATTTTTATTTTTGGAAGATACTAGTTTAATATTAGACTTGTTTGGTGATAAATTAATTTCTGTTGTGTCCTCCGCTAGCTGCAATTTTTTTCCTAAAGCTTACAGTGCAAGTTGCACTTAAAGCCAATACTGTAGCATCAGGAAAGAGGGATCTTTTCTGTCTCCTTCATCTTGGCCCCTGAAAGAAAAATAGAAATAAGTACATCTATAAAAACTTTTATAAAAGGTAAATATCAGCACCTCTTGCCTAATTTGTTAATTCTTACGGCAAAACAAAAATAAATACATGTATGTGCATGTCCATATTGTTATGTAACAGCCTATCATTCAGTGGTTGTTGTTGGTTGCTGTCTAGCACATTTGGTTAGGGTTTTATTTTTCATACATTCTTATAATTACATTGTAATGGTTCAACATTTTGCAAGTAGTGGTCTTAAAAGAGCTTAATTTTTAGTATTAGGTTATCTCGTTCTTGAAAGCTGTACAGTTCTGTACCAGTGGTCTTAATTTTTTACTTCTATATTTTTGAAAATCTAAAATTCATAAAAATGGGAAGGGAGTACACATCAATATATAGAAACAATTCATCAAAGTTTCATGCAAATTCGTTGAAAAGTTTTTGAGTTACTGTCTGACATGTTGACAGACAGTCACAGGTTAGGGGAGAGTTGGGATCCCTCTAACATGTTTAACCCTGCCACATTCTGTATAGTGCCTGTCCCAAGTCAGGAGCCTGTAATTCAGTAGTTGTCATTTGTTTATGTGTTACATACATGACATATTTGTTTTTCGTTCATTTTTTGTGCATAAATTAGGCCGTTTGTTTTCTGGTTTGAATTGTTTTACATTGTCATTTCGGGGCCTTTGATAGCTGACTATGCGGTATGGACTTTGCTCATTATTGAAGGCCGTACGGTGACCTATAGTTGTTTATTTCTGTGTCATTTGGTCTCTTGTGGAGAGTTGTCTCATTGGCAATCCTACCACTATTCGTTTTTATATAGACAACGGTATACCATAATACGTCCTGTAAATGTGCGAATAGAAATGAACATGGGGAATAAACATTGTATCCACTTACCAAATTGCTATTGTGTGAAACTCATCAATTACAATCAACTTAATGTTAAACTTCTTTAAACAAGTTCTCCAATAGGGATCACCAACCAATGTTTCTGGAGATGCAAAAATGACATATATCAACCCCTCTTTGATTCGATCGTCACTCTGGGGGAGATGATCCTAAAATGCAAAAAAAAATGTAGGTGGGCAGTCTCCAAAAAGACATATTTCTATGATAACTTCTATAATTTAAATGTACACTAGTACTGTACAAATACCCTTTCTCCATTTCACTGCGTTTGATTAAAGATTGAAATCCAATGAAATAATTCTTATTGTTGTAAAGTCCAATACAGAAATGAATATAGCTGAGATTTTAATGAATGCATGGCATATTTTCTCGATTTTGAGATGTTTCTGCCAATTTACCTGTTTGGCCATCCAACAAGGTCATTTAGACTGCACTTTTTCATATTTTTTTTTTTATTTTTTCATTGTTTAACACAAATAACAATCTAATTTAAAAATTAAGTTTCCCGCACGTTTCTGGGCCATGTAAAGCTGACTATGCTGTATGATTTCGCTCATTGTTGAAGGTCAGATGGTGACCTATAATTGTAAACTTTGTCATTTGTTGTCTGCTGGATAGTTGAGTTGGCAATTATACTTCAAGTCTTGTACATGTACGACATCTTCTTATTCTTATATGCATGTATATTTGTTTTGAGATAGATTATTAGTACATGTAATTAACAACATTTCCCTTGGACTCTGGTGCTTCATTAATACAACATGTAGTATATATCTTTATACAAAGTATGAAGAACTAGCATTATGGCCAAAACGACTGTAAAATACTGGTAATATGACCGATACAATCTGTTCTCGGTGAAATGAGACAAATTTATGTGCTACCATGGCTACGCTCTACTGCTTCTGCAGTTTTTTTTTAACTTTGCTCATGTATATCTAAGTTTCATATTACTGCTTTGTTACTGTTAGTCATGTGTATGTGTTGATATACTGAAGTTTAAATGTATGTTCCTGCAAATGAATTATATTTTATTTGATAAGGCATACATGTACATCTTTGCCTGGTCAGATGCGGATCCAGGACTATGGAAAAGGGGGCCTTGCATCTAGGCACCATAAGGTGTGGGAATAACGTCTTAAGAGAGAGGCATTGCATTAATTATATAAGTAGCTCCAACAGCATAGGCGGATCCAGGGGGCCTGGGCCCCCCTTTTGTGGGAAAAATTTAGTTGATTATATAGGGAATCACTGAAGCATGACTGAAGTGGGCCCCCTCTTATGTCAGTCAGTGGGCCCCCTCACAAAAAGTTCTGGATCCGCCAAAGTACAGGGGGATAACATGTCACCTCCTAACTGATTTCTCAGGTGTTATAAACATCTTTACAACACTGCCAACACAATAATTATAATATAGGTGTTTAATGGCATTAAATACTATAGTATAGACTATTCCATTTATTGAAGCCTTACTACCACTGCATGCTTAAAGTTATACTAACCTTTGTATGCAGCAGTAATATTTCCAATGTGCGAGAGTTTTTCCACCTGGTCCTGCAGAGCTACTAAGGGACAACAGACTAAAACTTTCCAGTTAGAACTGTTTTCAATAACCTCCCGGACAACTGGAAGGTACAGTTGAAACGGTAGTGACTTGCCAAAACCAGTCGTACAGCCACGCAGTTCTTCTTGTTAACTAAACACTCTTAAATTTCATTTTGCTCCTTCTTTATATCATTTATACCAAATTTTGGCAAAACTTTTGTCAAAACGTTGTCCAAACTGGGCGCATCCATGTTTTTTAACGATCCGATAATGGTATACAAGCCCGATGCTGATTGGTTAATCGAAATTGATTTTCTGCACGCTGATTGGTCGGTCAAAGTTCACCAAATTTGACCCTAGACATGACCCTCAAGCGGCTGTTGTTAGATCTCCCACGCGCGACATATAAACAACGAGGAGCAAGTGCGGAGATTTAATTTTAATTATATTGCATCCTGAAGATATAGCGAGCAATTTGGTAAAACAAATTTGTCGTAATCTTTTATGGTTGCGATGAAGTAGCAAACACAAGAAAAACAGTGTTCGGGGAGATAACTCTTACAAAGAACATATTCGGTTAAGCAGGGTCAGATTTGAAAGCGCATAAACTGTTCGATATCATATACCAAATATCAAATCGACATCTTGCGAAATAACCAAACAGCGAAAGAAAAAAAATTAGGCGGAAGAAAAAAAAAAATAATCAGAACAAAATCAATAGGTCTTTCCACGGAAAAGTGGAAAGACCTAATAATTAGAACAAATACAATAGGTCTTTCCACAGAAAAGTGGAAAGACCTAATAATCAGAAGAAAACCAAGTCAGAGTTGTCCTCGGTTATGACTCTATGTGGTGGTCAGCAGAAGACTATATTATTTGATAATGACAGGGTATATCTAATAGATGATGGAACATTTAAGGGCATACGATACAGTTACAGGGGAAGTAATGACGTTGCTAACGTAAATTGTTATTTTCGCGACGTCAAACTGTGACTTATCGGGAAAAGATGCAGTTTTCGACTGATTATTATCATTCAAACTGATTAAACTTGAAAACGAGTTCATGGACCCTTCTTTTTTAAAATGACATTTGGTTTGATTACGTATGAAGATTATGTGTACTAATTTTCATGAAAAAATCAATAGTGCCATTATTTTAAATTTGATAAATATACAGCAAAAAATGACGTTTTTTTTCTACATTCATGAACATTTGATAAATATGAGTTATTTGTAAAAATAAAATGTACAAATTTATAGAACATTTATATAAAACAGAAATTACAAATAATTTAACAAAAAACAGCTTGTGTTTATCTTTTAAAACAAAAAAGTTATGTATTTCTGTCGAAAGGAAAAAATACGTCCACAAATCCGAATTTTGAGGAAATATCTGAAATTTCAACCTCAATTTACTCAAAAAGTAGCACATGATGGTATATTTTTTATTGCATATTTGATTTAATCAGGTAAAAAATAGCGTATATGCAAATTTTCATCAAAATTTCATTACGGGATCAAAACTGTATCGTATGCCCTTAAATTCTTTAGTATGTGTGCAAAACTGTACTTGTAAAGTGTAACATTATGTGCAATCAATTATTTAATAAATACATATAGATATATATACATCAATATTAAAGTCTTTTAATAATTTTTAATCGAAACATTTTTCCGTAACCTCCAACTCATATTATTATATATTGTTATAAGGTTACGAAACTTCTCATTCACGAAACGACCTAGTTAGTAACGATTCGTCTAGGTACGAAACAACCAGGTTACGAAACGACCTGCACCTGAATATCATTTTTTTATAATTACCTACAAAACATGACATAAAATTTGTAAATAATATCTTTTTTATGTGTATCAGTTTGATACTCATGATTCTTTGTACGGTCTTCCTGTCTATTATAAACAGAAAGTTATTTATTGAACCAAGCAGTGCCTTCAGCATGCCTTAACTGAAAACACAAATGAATTTTAGCTATTTGACTATTTCCTGTTTAGCATTTTTAGATCAGTCATTCAGTGTGTGCCTGAATATATTTTGCGGGTGACAATAAATAATCATATAATTGTTACTCAATACGGTATGAAATGAGGTCCCGTCGACGTGCTCAATCCGTTAATTGATGGTTTCTAATGTATACCACTTTTATCATGTTTGTATACCTATAGAACGATGATGAAGAACAATTTCTTTTTTTTTCTATATAATTACAACAGCTCAAAATAATCTCGTGCGAAGTAAACTGGAAAACCGGAAGCAGGCTTGTACTACGGGTCTCACTAATTACCGACAAGAAGCGTCAGTCGAGAAGCGACAAGAAGAAAAGACTAGCGACAAGAAGTGTAATTTAGTTACAATACAATTCCTTGGTTACAAGAAAACAAATTTGGCGTAAACATTCTAAAATTAGTTATTTCTAGATAAATAAATATTGAACATGCATGTACACGAGAACACCGCCAGTGAAAACGTCATATCAGGAACATATATAATATGGAAGCAAGTTAACTCGTACCATTGTAAACTCGTACCACGTAAACTCGTACCAAAAAAGTTTACTCGTACCAACGTAAACTCGTACCACTGGGAAGTCGTACCAATCAGAACTCGTACCACTGCAAACTCGTACCATTAAAAATATATTCAAAAATACGAATGGTAAACTTAATAGAAAAATTTGAATTACTTGAATTTTATACTAGATTTTAATGAAAACTTAGACAAAAATACGAATGTTTTATGATTATTTTTTTTAAGCTTTATACAAAAAATTTAAATATCATTGAATTTTATACCAGATTTGAATGAAAACTTTTATTATATATATTATTAAATTTTGATTGTTGTTATATAATTTAACAGCTTGGAATTAAATGTATAATGTTTATTATTAAATGAACTGAATTACTGATTATCAAAACACAAGCTGACATGAGTTGTCTCAAAGCCCACTTTCCTCATAAAATGGGGCACGTTTGTGAGGTTCCTCATAACAACAATGGAAGACGACAATTGTATATGGTGCCACTTTCTGGTTAGACCCCGACAAGAAGCAAAAGAGTGTGATGTTTGTTCTAAATGGCAACACATGTCTACTAACTTAGTGCAAAAGATCTGCAAGGCTTGATCATGTATAAATATGAATGTACAGCAAAGGTCAAAATCTAGAATCTACATTTCACCTTGAACCAAATTTCAAGGTCATAAACCAAGGACATCAAATCAAAAGACCCTTGGTCTTTATTATATATGGTTAATGAGTAATATTACTATACCCATAATTCTAAATATACGAGAGGCTAAAACTCTCATGTAATGTCTAAGCACCGTTCAACCAATATTTATATGTTATGATATGTTGCAACTAACTATTTAGTTACAATTATATGTCGATATCTTATACGGTTACTGAAAATAAGTGAAAATAAGCCAAAATCAAGTTTTAGAAATTGACCTTGACCTTTGACCTTGACCCTATTTTCTTTTTTTTTTGGACCAAAGACCTCAAATCAAAAGACCCTAGGTCACTCTCACTTAAGGTTTACCAATTACAATTACACTATACTTATTTAAAATACAGAAGGGGAAATAACTCTCATATGGAGCTTCCGGACCGCTTCGGTCAAAATTTTTTTTCAGATCCTAAGGTAGCTCCACAGTTAGAAAAAAACATTAAAATTGAACCACAAAATGTTTTATCATCTTCTATTCCTGGCTTTCTAATACATTAACCTAACTGTTTGTGTTATACATGTGCATATGTATGTAATCAGTATCTTCCATAGATTTGATTTTTAAAAGTTAAAATGGTGAAATATAATTCCTTTTTTGTGTATCCATGGCAACATTCTGCATTTATTTACCATAAAATATTGCAAAAAGGGGGGGGGGGGGGTAAAAATGTCACATATTCCCCCAAAATTTGGTTCAAACTAGAATTTCAATGCCTTTCAGTAATACCTTTTCAGAAACTGTTGATATAAATCTACCAAATGATCAAATAAAAAATGGGTGTCTTTCGCCTCATTTTTTCGTAAAATTTAATTGCAAAGTTCGTGCGACAAAAAGTTGGAAAAAAACATTACAATAATTGCCGGACCAATATTTGGTATGGATATGAAAATACGGACTGTCATACAGAAAACAGCCCATATTACATACATTACATATTCTTGATGTTCCTATAAACCCACTATGAAGGCTATTTTAATCTTCAGCTATCCAAAAATGAATTTTATTCTATACTAGCTATCATATTTGAAAAATCCACAGGGGCCAAAATGCGAAACTACACACCTAACTGTGGAGTGCTACCTTAATATGAATTTGTTTTTCCCTGCCTCAAATTCAAATTCATTTCCTGTGTTCTACTAGCTGTAACGAATAAAATGGTTTCTAAGTTTTTAAAATTGGTTCAGTTATAAAGATTTAATGAAGGTTAGCATTTGATGTTAAAACGCGACAAAAAGTCATTTAAAAAAAAATGCTTGATCAAAGTGTAAAACTTCAAGCCTGTCACATTTTTGGGGTAAATTTCTAAAACTTTTCCCTTTTTTCTGTTTAAAATCATAAAATAACCTTTAAAGAAGAAAAATTATACAATTTTTAGGTATTTGAAAGCATTTATAGGTCAATTTTGCTGTAAATAGCATACCAAACCTTGTTTTAGAAACTCTCAAGCAGGGTGTAAATATCTAACAGTACTGGCATCATTAAATTTCATTCATGCCAAATAATATTTAAAATCCTGCTAAAAATGTTTATTTGACTTATTCGCATTAAAAAAATATAAAGCGATACATTCTCCTCGGAGTTCAGTATTTTTGTGATTTTACTTTTTTCTGAGATTATCATATAAAGCACAAACTTTGGTTACAAGGGCGAAGCTAATGGAGTACAAATTTAAGACAGAAACATGTCTTAGTGTCAAAATGTGTATATTTGGTTGCTAAGGACAGTAAACAATAAAATTAACATGTATTGCAATCCTAGCAATT